GTGGTATTTTATTCAGAAGAAAAAGCTTTTTCCTAGGGAAGGGGGAAATCGGGAATAACTAGTTTTGCAGTATGGTTACATAATACATTCTAAAGACAAATTCCATAATCAGAAGCTAAAAAAATCAGCAAAAGTAAGGTGTTCTAAGACCAGGTAAAAGTGTACTAGAGGATTTCAACTTTGATGACTGAGGATTCAGGTAAATACAGTAAAATGTCCTGCGGATGGCAGATTCATTCTAAGATGTTTGATGTAAAAAATACAATTTTAGTTAGGACTGTTGAAAAACTAAGGACCATTCCCTGAGAAAATTGAGAAACAAAGGAGCAACAAGAAGAAAAAGAGAGAAAGAGAAACTTGACCAAGAAATAAAAATAAGGAAAAGACTGAAAGAAGAAATAAATGTAAAGTAAATGTGTGGTAATCAAAACGACATGGATAAAAAGTTATAATTGATTTGTTAAATGGGCTGAATTCTTACTAGTGAAATCTACCTATGTAATGTTTATAGAAGCAAGCCTAAAAGCAAATTATAAAGATAAGCAAAAAGTCCAGACAAATAAATACAAAACAAAACAGCAAAGAAACAGGAATAGATAGAAGAGTTACTGGGAAAATTTGGGAGGAAAAGTTACTATCAACAGAACTAAAGAGCATTCAGAATATGTAATGATAAAAATGCTTGGTTTGCCAGGGAGCATAGGAGTCATCAGGATATACAGCACAGAACCAAAATATGTAAATGTTTCTACAAAGCCAACTAGATAATGAAAAATCTTTCAGAATTTGAATGATCTAGTATAGAAAAAAAATCACCACGGACAGGAGATTTTCATTTGATGTAAGATATATACAACTTAACATCATAAAAATGGGATATTGTTTTCTTCTTTGTCTTGGGAATTTTATGAACTTGGTTGCATAGTAGGTCAGAAAGAAAATTTTGCTACATTTAAAAAAATGACTTCATAAGTCATTCTATGGCTACATAGCCCCTGATGAATTTTTCCTCCCTGGTACTGGGGATCGAACTCAGGACCTTGCCCATGAGAGGCAGGCACACCTCCTCTGAGCTTAAACCCCCATCCCCTAGAAAGATAAAAAAGTTGGTGAAAATCCTCACTATTTGAAAAGAATTTCCTACATAAAAACTTCCTATACAAGTACACGACTCAGGAAGTTGGAAAACATTCACACCGTAACTGTACAGACACACTTCATTTTGTTTCACTTCACAGATACAGCTTTATTGTAACCCACTGAAGGTGTGAGGCATCCCTATATTGAGCAAATGTCTGGTGCCCTTTGTCCCTACCTCGTGTACTCACTTTGTCACATTTTGATAATCCTGACAACATTTCAAACATTTCTATTACTGCTGTATCTGTTAGGACGATCTGTACTCTTTCACATTACTATTGTAATTGTTTTGGCACTGCAGACTGCACCCATGTAGCTGGCGAGCACTGCGTGTGTTCCCAGGGCCACACCGACTGGTCCCTTGTCCGGTCCTCCTGCTTTTCCTTGGCCTATGTCTGGAGATACAAATAACAATGCCACAGTGTCCTCTCAGTGTTCCAGTGAAACAGCCACACATCTCCGTCTAAAGTCCGAACTAGACGGGATTCAGATTTGCAAGGAAGGCATGTGGAGACCTGCGTCAGGCTGAAACTTAGGCCTCTAAGGAATGGTTTTGGGAGGAAATCGAGTATTCCCCCAGGGAACACATGAATGACAAGGAAACAGCCTTACTGCTGGTATGGAGCCAGTTCCAGTGGGCTGGACGGACCAGACCACCTCCCTATGCCAAGGCCTCATCTGGAGCAAGGCCCTGACCTTCAGCAGCGCGGTGAGGCTGAGAGGTGAGGAAGCTGCAGCGGAAGAGTGTGAAGCTGGTGGAGATTGGCTCAGGAGGTTTAAGGAAAGAAACTGTCTCCATCAGGGAACAATGCACCTGGTCACCCAGAGGCTCTAGTACAGATGAGCAAAGATTACTGTTGTTTTCACACCTGCTAATGCAACGTCCATTCTGTGGCCCATGGATCAAGGAGCCATTTTAACCTTCAAGTCTTATTATTTAAGAAATAGATTTGGTAAGACTACAGCTACCATAGATAGTGATTCTTCTGCTGAATCAAGGTAAAGTAAATTACAATCCTTCTTGACAGCATTCACTGTTCTCAACCTTCAACAGACACCACCCTGATCAGCCAGAATCCATCAAGACTTCCAGTACCAGAAAGATTATGGTTTTCTGAAGGCTCAAGTGACTATTAGTATTTAAATGAAGTATTTTAAATGAAGGTCTGTACACTGATTTTGGACATAATGCTACTGCATACCCAATAAACTCCAGCATAGTATAAATATATATAACTTTTATATGCACTGGGAAACTAAAAACTTTATGATACCTGCTCTTTTTAATGATCTGCAATTAAATCTACAATCTCTCTCAGGTTTGCATGTATTTAAAAAGTGCTTGCCTTAAGACCTGCAAGAACGTACATACTAAGGACTTACACACTGAGTATTCACAATAAGAACTTTTCAAATACCAACAGTAAAACCAGAGGTAAAAGCCAATTAAATGAAACACAAATAAAAAATTATACAAAAAATGTCATAGTTAATAAAAAAGACCCATCAAGCAACCCTTTGTCTATTAAAATACAAAACCACCTAAGCAAAAGCACCCAAGAATAAAGTTTGGACAGGAGACTGAACCCCAGATAGTAAACTACACATCGGGATGATTGCCTTAAAGCATGTAAATGGGCCAAAATTGTTCTGAGAAAAAAAACGCAAAAGTGGGAGGCAGAGTCCTACAGAAGTCACTGGAAGGGTGAAAAACCCCTATTAGATAAAACAAGTATCAGATCTAGATAGTTTTTCTAGCTGAGTTCTATTAGAATTTCAAGAATATAATTCTGATTTAATTCCACTGATATTACTAGAAAAATGGAGATTCTGCAATTGTCTCGAAGCCTTGTAATTTTCATACCAAAACCAGAGAATGGTAGAAATCCTAGCTCTCCACCTACTCTACACAGCCACAGTTCAGTATCACTTATGGACACAGATGTTCAGCTGAAGAAAAAAGTAGCAAGTCATTTCCAGCTACTTACATAAGCCATCATCACACTCAATTTTGGGACATTTTCATCACTTTGGAGAGAAACCTTGTGCTTATTCATTGTCACACCCTCTCTTTCCCCTGGTAACTATTAATCTTTCTATGAATCTGTTTTAGCAATGTATATATGTGATCTTTAAAGATTAGTCTTTCCCTTAGCAGTGTTTTCCACATTTGTTGTAGCCTGTTACTCTGACTTTTAAAGCTCTCATAAGGTCTAAAGTTAGCTGCTTCCTGCCTGTCCTCAGACTGTCCTGCACCCATCCTCATGCACACAGATTGTTGGCTACCTTTGTAGTTTTCAGATCAAGGAAAACTAGACTGGACTGCCAAACATTCACTGTATTATTTCAGTGCTTTGAGATAAAAGCAACATGGTTAAGACCAAGGACTTTATAAATGGCCAGCTTCTAATACAATACTTGAATTTTATCTTGAGCTAATAGAGGCCTTGGATTCTTCTAGGATAATCCCATTTGCTAAACCTCTGCCCTCTGCTCCCTTTGGGCACACGTGTGGGACACTGCGTCCCGTGGGCTGGTATGGAAGATAGCACCACATGGTTATTCTCTCCCCTACTCTCCAGGAGAGCGAGGAAGAACTCTACTCCTCCTGTCGCCAGCTGCGGAGACGGCAAGAAGAGCTAAACAATCAGCTATTTCTGTATGACACACATCAGAACTTGCGCAGTGCCAACCGGGATGCCCTGGTCAAAGAGTTCAACGTCAATGAGAACCAGCTTCAGCTGTACCAGGAGAAGTGCAACCGAAGGTAGGCTAGCCACTCTCACTTGCTGCTGGTCATAGGGCAAAACTTTAGGAAGCCCCAGCCTACCCATACTTTCTTTAGAAATTCTTCTGTACCTTTGATTATGGTTCTTCTCTCTGCTCTATAAACAAACTTATCACCACAAGCACCTTCTACTCCCTAAACAGAACTCTCCTCTATAGGCCATTTCAATGTAACAGTGAAAATAGATCATTTTTTTGTTATTGTGCTGGGGATGGAACCCAGGGCCTCATGGATGCTAGGCAAATGCTCTACCACTGCTACATCACAGTCCAATGACCATTGATTTTTAAGGAATCCTACTTGAGTTCCTAAGAATGCACTAGGCTGGTAGCAGGAGAATGGAGAGCAGGGAGATCCCCCTGAACGAGGGAGGCTCCTGGCTGTGCCAAGTCAGGTGACGGGCTAGAAGGGCATCCATGGATACCTCACACAGTATGCTAGGGAGCAACCAAGCATCCAAGCATTATCTGGGTGCAGATGCTAACAGCAGCCTCCAAGGGCAGCTCTTCCTCACAGTATTTTCACTGTGCCGCTGCTCCCTCTTTTTAGCAACAAGATGGTTGAACCTCTCTCAGTTGCAGTGTCTTGTAGGAGCTCAGAGCACCTCCTCTGACCCTCAGCCCCATGCCACCCAGGCACAAATGACCCCAAATGTTCCAGGGTTCTGCAGAGTCTGTATCGTCTGCCCTGCTGGTGATGGTGAAGTCTGTTTCATTTCAGGTTGCGAGAGAAGAGAGTCAGCAACAGCAAGTTCTACTCTTAGAAGCCAGTGTACACATATAAGGGTGTGGTGTGTGCGTGTGTGTTACACAGAGGACTGTGCTCTGTTCAGTCCCCTGTAAGAGGCTACTGTGTGACATCACCCTCTCCAAGTCTGCCATCAAGATGACATCCGTGAAGATGCCCCAAAGGGCACAAGTTGGGTTAACTTCCTGTTAATATTTGTACCTGGGACAATTTCTTAACTTATATTCTTCATAGAGGACCCCAAAAATGTGTTCCTCGTGTTTGGCCTCTCATGTTCCAAACATCATTGAATAAAAACAACAGAATTCTCTATCAGTTAAGCCTTTTACACATGTCCTATATGCTGAATAGGACTTTTTTTTCTGGCTAACAAGATTCAGCTAATGGCCCAGGTAATAGACTTCTATAGAAGATGAGCTGGGAATATAGGAACTAATACATTAAATTCTGAAAAAGATTTTAACTAAAAGGCAAATGATTCCAAAATTAAGGCCTTTGGATTCCACAAGGGCCCAAAGAGGAGATGCGCCCAGTCAATGGGCTCAATTCAGTGAGCATTAGCTACCATTGGCTGGCTGAATTGACCCCCTGCACGGACCTGCTGGAGCCCACAATAAGTGGTTGGGTGATGGGATTTAATCATTAGGACAATTTCTGATCATGTTAGAAGCTTGCTTTTTGATTAGCTTTATTGGGTGTGCAGCAGAGATCTTGGGACCTCTGTTTTAACAGCCATTCAGACACTAGAGACTGCTGGAGGTTTGGCCAGCTTCTTTTCCCTGCTCTCCCTGTTGGAAGGCTCTGGACTCACTCTCCATCCCCACTGCCCCACTGAGTGGCTGGGAGGGTGCTGGGAAAACCCTGGGGTCCACAGACAAGAAGTTTAAAGAGGCAGATGAAGGTGTGTGTGGAGAAATCTCTCTGAGCTATGCAATACTCTGGAGCAAGGAGTGAAGTTTCAAAGCTCAGGCATTAGGGTATTACAGAAAACCTCAAATGCAGCTGCTCCCAGGGGGTAAATCCATCCAGATCTTGACTGGACATGTGGTTGGCTGGGAATTTACACCCCTGCATTCTGAGATATAACATGGACATATGGTTGGCTGGAATTTTACACCTCTGCATTCTGAGATATAACCAGTGATTTAATAAGGCTGTTGAGACAACAGTCTTGGGGGACATGTAGGGGTCAGCAGAGTCACAACTTCTGAGAGAATCAGAACCGACTCAGGAAAGCAGTTGTATGAAAACAGCAGATAGGGTGCACAAGAACAAACTAGCAGTAAGTGGTGCTTTGCTGAGGTAGAACCAGGTCCTAGAAACCATTTGCCCCACCATTCCCCTCGTTATCCAAATGCTGGGCTTAGCATGTATGCATTCCCAAAGAGCTGATTAGAACCAACTAGGCTCCATCTGTCCTCAAAACCTCATCCCTTCATCCCACAAAATCTTGATACTTTCAAATGCCAAGTACCCTGCCAAAGTCTTTGCTATTGCAAAACAACCATAGTGTCTCATCTCCCAGACTACACCCGTAATCCATTAAGTTCCTATAAGACATCTACCTTCTCTCAAGCTGGGAATAAGGTATCTGGAACCTGATTAAGGTGGGGCCACTACCTTGGTGACACTGGTCTATCCTCAGATTGGAAATTGCTGTTTTATTTAACAGTCAGCAATCTGGGGAAGTCAGGTCCTCACAGTAGCCAGTTTTCAAAGCAACTTTCAAGAAACGTTATGGGAAGGCATGGAACTGAAGGCTGCAGGGGAGGAAGTTTCAGGTGATGGCCAGTGCCCTGTTAAGCTAGTGGCTGGAGCCTCTTGCTCACAGTGCCAGTCCCCAGCCCCTTTTGGCTCTGTCATTACCTCTATACAGCAGAGCTCAGGGGTGCTGTCAGCCCCTCTCAGCTCCCGTTTCACTCTATTTTGAAGCTGGATCGCTAAGGCCTGTACCTCTTTTGATTAAGAGTATTACCACTGTATCAAAAAATTGGGTAGAAGCAGCATCTCTTCAGATGGTTTTGTGTACAATCTATATGCAGCCCACCCCCGCAGAGAAGGGACAGGCAGGTGACAATAGCAGTGGGGCTGGGGAGGATCCATTTCTTCCAGTGACAATCACTGGAGTCTACCACTAGAGAGTACTTGCTCTGGTTCTGTCCCACCCTAGTAGGGCGACACAGGAATCTGGTTCTTGGTGGTGTCACGGCCTCAGTGGACCTTCTCAGGAAAGAAGTAGATAGAATTGTGGCTCTTCCCAGGCAGGGTTTGTCAGAAGCCAGGTAACCTAACCATCAGCTGGGATGAGCTCATGACAGGCAACTCATGTCATGCAGCAGCAGGGTGAGGACATTCTGAAAGATGGCGGCAGCACCAGTGGAGCCAAGTCCCAATCACATGTGTCACTTCAACCCTGCTCACCACTGCCTCACATGCACTATTCTGGAGTATCAGTTATCATGTCAAATATAAAGCAGGGACCCTGGAAGGTCACAGATTGGGAAATTTACTTCATACAAAGATAATTTCACCACACTGAGATATGAAGTGCAGGGGTTCAGAAGGGCATTAAGGGTCATGTTCCCCAAATTTGATGGCAAAATCCTGTTGTCAAGCAGTGGCTCATGCGACAGGTGGGCTGCAGAGAACACATGAGGGCCTGGTTCTCCTAAGAAGGCAGCTAGGCAACAAAACCTAGTATTGAGATGCCCTGTGACCAAGGCCAGTGGCTTTTGTGTCATGAGGTGATGGCAACCCAGCCTTACCCCTGGGGTGTAGCAGAGCTTTTCAGGGCATCTCTTTTCAGATCCTCCTGTTCTTAGTGTACTCTTTAATAACATTCACCTCTCAAAGAAAATGCTCTTTTCTTAGCTTACAAAAGACATACGGTTTCTCCCATCTCCTCTCTATCAGAGATTATAACCCAAGGTGTAGAACTCAAAATATGGATGTTTGAAAAGTGAAAGACTAAACAGGGTGCAGATCCTTTGGCAAATCCAGCAGTTCCCAATTCATTAATTTCACAAAACGGACAGAACACCCAGTAGATTTCTGTATTTTGACATGTACCTATAAAGGAGTTGCAAGGACTCAGAGACACTGCAGCCACAAACTTTCCTGCTCCCATCTCCTCTACATGAGCAGGGACCAGTGACCCCTCCATGCATAAAATTTAAAAGGGAGACTAGATCTGGGTATGGCGGTGCACTGCTATAATCCCAGCACTCTGGAAGGCTGAGATAGTATGATTACATGTTCAAGCCCAGTTTGCTCAACTTACCAATTTAGCAAGTCCCTGCCTCAAAACTTTAAAAGAGGTCCAGCTCAGTGTGAAGGCCCTGGGTTCGATCACCAGTTCATTCTGAAAACATTAATCTACAGACAGATACAGCTGGAGAGAAAAAGCTTCTTCATCACACTGATACATTTTCAATGAAGTTTTACTACATTTAACTGTGTATTAAAATTTGTACTTTCCTGATCAAGCTTAATTCAGAAGAAAATTTTAAAGATTTAGAGTATTATGATTATAGAAAATTATGTAAATGTGTCAAAGATACACTTAAGCAATACAAAAGCCCAGAGTAGGCTAATATTCTGAGGGGGAAGAGGTATTAAAATGCAAATTTAAAAAGTAAAAGAGAAAATGTGCCATTTTCTACTATGAAAAATTGCTTTGTCCTTTAATTTTCAAAGAAAGTAAGTAACTTTTATATTTAGAACCTCTTGGGTAAATTTAAAAACAAAGTTTTATCTGAAAAATGTAAGAACACAATAGGTCAGCACTTAAATCCTTTGCAACTATTCATGATGAGAAATTTTAGTGGTCAATTTAGATATGTATAAGAGGATATGATACCCAGATTTTCAAAATTCACTTAAGAAGTATCACAGAATAACATTTTAAGATTGCTGATCTAGGGCCACTAAATGATTAATTATATCTAGAAGCAGAGATTGCTACAAGGGGCTCCAATCCTTTTTACTTTAAAAGGAATGTAATTTAACTATTAACTTTTACGCCGTTTGGAAGCAAACCTAAAAGCTATATTCCAGCCAACAGAAACTTAATTCAGAAATATACAAAATTGGCATTTTAAGTTACTCAATGATTTGTCCTACAATTTTTAATGTTCAGAAAAATTTCCTTGAAGAGACAGTTTACAGTGATCTTGTCTTAGACATTTACATATTCCTTATTTTTCACTAGGCTTTGAAAAGCTGCATTTGGAAACTTGTGTTTCATTATTAAAGTGTAATTTAGTTTTCATATATATTTTTAGTATGTACTTGTGTGTACATAGAAAATTATGTGAATAAGCCACATGCTGGCTGATGATGTCAAAGTAAATAGCTGTATCACACTTGAAAAACTAAAAATTTGGCCTGGGTGAATATAGCGGTCTGCTTGGAACTTTGTTTTTAACTGCTATTCACTTTTTATGTTCTCAAAAGAAACAAAAAGTAATTCAGCCAGAACATATGCAGAATTACAATACTTTCTAAAAAATATGTTTCTTGTAGCTCAGTGGCAGAGTGCTTGCCTGGCTAGCATGCATGTGGCCCAAGATATATACAGTATATAAAATGTGGGACATTTGTAAAGTGGATATAAGGAGGTGATACAGCACATTCATATATTATAGACGCATTATTAAAATGGATACATTTACAAAACATGTGAGAAAGAGAAAATGCTGAATAAAGTTACCCACCAATACTATTTATAAAACTTCAGATTAGGAAGACACTGAGTCTTTTGCTTTCTTTTTCCTACTACTAGCCTCACTCCTTTGCACAGCACCATAGAGCTCTACACCATTTCATGGGAAGTACCAAAGTGACCAGGCCCAATTCTGTTGAGTAGGTCAAAGAAGCAGATACACAGCAAGATGAAACAAAGCCAAGAAATATCACTGGACAGCAGAAACTAACTACAGAGATCCCATATTAGCACCACTCTAATCCTTAAACCTCAGCACATGGGCACTGCTCACACATGCACACACACACAAAACAGAAATACGAAAAAACAAGGCAACAAATGCCTCCAAAAGCAACTTCCCAAAACATATTCAAGGGGCACTAATGAAGAGGAAATAAACCAAATGGCTGAAATATGCAAAATAATAAAAGAAGCAGCAAAGAAACCTCACAAGTTCAAAGATAATATACTAAATAATGTACCTAATAAACAAATAGATTAGTGAACTTAAAGATACAAATACAAAACTAGCAGAGCTAACCAAAATAATTCAAAATATGAATGACCAATTTAACAAATCAGACAAAAAAAAAAAAAAAGTGTGGTGTGCACACCT